CAAAAACTCACTTTTCTCTTTAAACTCAAAACTTAAACCTCTTTATTCTCTCAACATTTATCTTCTCTCTTGCTTCAATATTCATCTCCACCATGAATGCAACCTTCTGAACGCATTTACCTTCATCTGGAACCATCACAAAGCTTCTGCAAACATCATCTTCCTCTTCTATTGATCAACTTTAATTTGAAAGTTTGAAGAAGATTCAAGGAAAATAAGGCTTCAATCTACATTCCTCAAGCTTCAAGGAAGCATTCTACATTGTTTTCTGCTCTCATTGTGCGTGTTGAGCTGGCAACAGACCTTCTCCATTAGGTATCATCGAAGATCCTTCGTTCTCTCATTTTAACGCATCATTTTAGGTCGCTCTTGTTGTTAGAATCATGCTGAGAATAACATGAGCTGAAGTCCTATCTTTATATACTCTGTATGTTCATATGTGTGATGAAATTTCATTTTGAATCCGTTAGGGTTTCAGTATGTTTTCTTGATTGCGTGATTTTTAGGAACAATTGAAGGAAACTAATGGTGGATTCGTGATCAGGAGGTAAAACTAGTAAGATCATGTTATTCTTTTTCATTTCTGAAAATCTTTGCTACCGTCACCACCTCTGGTGTGGTGTCTGTCTCATCTGAGAAGAAGTTTGTTAGGGTTCAGGTGGCGCCTTTTTTCAAATCCAAATGCTTGAGTTGTTGCCTCGTGATTGGTTCATTTATTTTATTTATTTCTTTATTGTTTTTAATTTCAGAATAATTAGAAATAATATAAAAAAATAAAAAAATGTGTTGTGATGGACTAGGCTTATGCGCTCATTGTTTTTCACACCCCACCTTCCTGACCCAGTTCAGGTTATAACATGATCCAGTTTGTTTAGTTTTACTATTTCTCACCCCCAACCAGATTTTGTTTTACAATTTCATCTCCTTTTCATTTTTTCTTTGAATTCTATTTTCTTGTGATGATAAAAAATAATAAAAATAGGTTTATGATACTTTGAGGTCTTATCCTTTATTCCCTATTTTCATTTTATTTTTTTCCATTCTATTTTATTTTATTAAGAGCATTTTTTCAAATGTATGCTTTTGTTTTGATAATTTATTTTGAGTCATGTGTGATACTTGGCTTGAATCTCTGTTGGGTCACTCTTTTTACAATAATGTGAAGTTTTGATGCTTAGATACCTTAGGGTGAATTATTTTAAATGTTGATTAAATCATAGCCATGATTAGTTGATTTTTCTTGAGCCTTAATTCATGATTAAAATCTTGCTTCCTCTTTGAGATTGATGCCATGGTTTGCCATGCTTTTGGGCAATATTTTTGATGAACTTTCTTTACACTTAACTTGATGCTTTGGTGCTCTAAAAACTTGATGCTTTGATCAATATTGTTCCATGTATTAAGTGAATCAATTTGTTGGTTTAGTTGTTGATGTTTGCTAAATCTTTGACCTAATTTATGAATTTGTTTCCTTTGAAACTTCCCTTGTTTTGGGTTATGTTTGGATTAAGTCTTTTGGTTAAGTTGCTGCCATGTCTTGACATATTCCTTCATTGCTTTGAAACTTTCTTTTGTGCTAAGCTTTTATAACTTGTTGATGATTGAACACATGATTCCTTGTGCACTTTATGTGAATGAATTGTTTAGGTCTTGAACCCCTAATGCCTAATCCTTAGAAGAATGATCCTTATGGTGTTGGAGTTGTGCTTTGGTGTTTAACTTTTGACACATGTGGATGCTATACTTTTAAATTTGAAGTGTTGATTTATGGTTTAGACTTGAAGCATGTTTAGGGTTTTAACCTTCATGATTGAAACTTTATGTCATTGTTAATCTTGCTTCATAATTTGAATGTTGATGATATGAATTTGATTCCATGAACTCTCTTGAGTTAATATTTGAAGCTTTGTCATAGTGCTTGGGTCGTCACCTTTAAACTCTGACATGTTGTTCGTTTACTTGTAATTAGATGTATAATTTGAGTTTGTTTCTTTTCTTGAAGACGTATGACAATCTTACTTGAAGTTTTGGTTTGATACCTTATCTTTGCAATTTGCAATTACCTTTGTTATGATAGAATATAAACTAATGCATATTTAGGGTTACAAATTGGAGTTGTTTGAACCACTTTCTTGAGAAGATTTGTTGATTGTTGAGTCATGTCTTAATGACTTATTACTTTGATTTGACAAGTGTTGTGACCTTAGGGTCTTGTTTTGTTTAATCTTACATGTTTAGTTGTTATTTAGGGAACTTGTTTTGTGAAGTAGAATTCATTTTTTTCCATGGTTTGAATGACTTGCCTTAAGTACCTTTTGATACTTTCTTTCATTGACCTTAGGGGTTCAAAATGTGATTCTTCTTGACATGTTTGGTACTTTCCTTAGGAACTTGTATTGTGGATTTTCTATATCAATCTTGATGACATGTCTTGATCACTTACTTTTTTTATACTTTGGTTATTACTTAAAAGCTTAGGCTTGATGCTTTGTTTACCTAATACTTGTTTAGGTGTCTCTTGCTTGTCTCGGATCTTGGTTAAGTACTTAAGATTTGTGTTGGTGGTTACCTCTAAAGTTGAGTGTGACTTATCTCAAGTCTTGGTTAGGTACTTGAGATGTATTTTGGGTTATTACCTTTGTACTCTGAAGCTGTTGATTGTGTATTTGCTTTGTGTGATAACATGTACCCTTAAGACTTCTTAATTCATCTTAATCCTTTGATTGAGTTGAATTAAGGTAGACTTTGGTTTGATATACAAGCATGATAACATAGTTAAGATTTCTCTTTGATCCTTACCTTTAGGTCCATCTTGCATGATAACTTTATGATAGAGATTCCCTTGACATCTCAATCTTAAGTCCACTTTGTATTATAACAAATAGGACCAAATTTCCTCTAGATTTTTATTTCTTTCTTTTTTGCTTTGCATACTTTTAAGACTAAAACTCTTTCTTGATCAAAATTTCAAAATACTTATTCATACTTGAACACTTTCAAAACTAAAGGAGAATTACTCAAATACACCCAGTCTCGGAGGATCATTTGATGTATTCTCGTAACAAAACACTCAACAAATTCAAACTTTTTTTGCCTTAGGGCTTTTCTTTTGAAAACCTTTCAAAGAGGACATGTTAATTCCATTATACACAATACAACGACGCGTGAGTCTCCAAAGATCAAGCAATAACGTTAACTGTTAGAATGTGAACTTAGCATCGTCCATAAAAAACATCCAACCAACAAAAAACCATTTTGGAAGAGAACCACGGGGTTCTGATTCTTTCTGGAGATACATAGGCATTAGGTTGCAAAACTCGAACGAACTCAATAATTAAAACCTTTTGTTTTCCCTTTAATAATTCTTTCATGCATTCTCTTAGTAGGTAAGCTTTAGATATAACACACCCTTTGATTAGAACAACAAAAGTGAATCACATTGAGTACAACAGACTTGAGGAGTACTAACACCTTTCTCTTGCATAATCGATTCTCGAACTCGAATTTGATCGCAAGACCATATTCTTCTCTTCTTTGAGATAAATAAAATTCAAAGACAGTTCTATTTATGTCAGTATTTTTTCGCGGTAGCAACAACATTGTTAGACAATAAACAATAAGTGTTCTTTTTTGTGTTGACCTAGCACTACTCTTTTATAGAAATGAACTTCTGATCCACATCTTGAAAGTCACATTTTTTTAATCTAATTTTAAAACTCTAGTTAGTTTTGATCTCCCATCTTATTTTGAAGGCTATTTTTCAGATGTAGCAATTTTAATATGGACAAATTTAATATTCATATCATATCCTAAAAGCAATTTTGTTAACGTGTCATAGTAAATTTGTTCACCGAAATATTGTTACATTAATAAAGATTCAAAAATACAATGAAAGATATAAATACATAAAAAAATTTAAAAATAGAGAAAAAACTGAATTTTAAAAAAAGAGATATTCACAGTATATTTGATTTGGTTTTGTAAAACTATTTTATCTTTAAAATTTGAAAATGATAAAATTTGTTTGATAGTTAAACTTTACAAACTATTTTTAAAAACTACTCTCTATTTTCTATTTAAGAGTTTTGAAAACTAAAAAGCTAAAATATATTTTAAAGGTTTTGGTTTTTAGTTTTAAAAATTGAGAAGAGGAAAAAATAAAGAAAAATGATACAATTTTTATTAATGAAAAATTCATAATATTGTACAAATTTAAAATAGTTTTTAAAATTAAGATTATCAAAGATGTTTTCTGTTTTTTCTTTTCAAAATTAATTTTTAAAATTGATTTACAAAATAATTTAAAAAAATTAAAAACTAAAACTTATTCAAACAAGCAAGTAAAAAAGAAAAACTATTGTATTTTGTCACAATCCATAAATGGTCATGTTTGCACAGTGGCAAACATATACCTATGAGGGCGTGAGGGGATAGGCCCAAGTGACCTATTAATCCATCACAGATCCAATGAACCCAAAATGTTGATTGTTTATTCTAAAAGGGAAAGGTGGATCCCTATAGGAGCATGCTCTATGTCAGAATCTGAGATTGTTTCCCTTTCTGTAAACTTTGCATTTGATCAAAAAAAATATACAAACTCATCTCTTTTCCAATTTGTACTTGTTCACTGTATTTTCTGTTCCAGGTCCTAACAGATAGCTCTAGAGGATGTTGGTAGTCATGGATTTATTCCAAATGCATCTCAATTTTATATTCAACATATAATGGTAAAATCACATGGTCTTATGTCACCACCATAGTTCAAGTTGGCTACATTATAAAATAATTACATTGTGCTATGCTACTTAGAAATATAACGTTTTTGAAGAATACTTATTCACTGAAAACATAATTTAATAGCTAAAACATTAACACTCAAAATAAACTATATATATGATATGAGAAAGACTTCTACTTATCAATATTAAGCTTCTGCAGCAGATATTGCTTTTATCTTCCGAAAACTTGTTTAGCTCTTGTGCCTGCAGGTTCGCGAAACCTTAACTCACTTGGCTTACTTGTGAAACAAGCTTACTTAATTTCTTTTTCTCTGTTTGAATAAATTCAACAATTAATTTTATAGCTGAATCAGGCCTTTCCAAATGAGGAATATGCCCACAATCGGGTATTTGACGTAGAACTGCATCAGGTAATTCACAGTGTAGTTGCTGCAAGAATAAAACTTTAAAAGTAAACTTCACTTGCAGTCCTAGCAAGCGTCAAATAAACAGGGAAAATATTGTTAATCACAAGCTATAAAAGTAGTGCTATATGATAACTAACCACTGCAAGCTTATTGCTGACTATACGATCATTTTCACCCCATATTATCAGTGTTTTCTGCTTTACCTGTTAAACATATTCAAAACATATTACCGAGAAGAAAACCAAGCGTCGGAAATAAGATGAAATTTATTCTGCGATGCAAACTTTTAATTGATGAAGACTTTTAATTGTTTTCCTAACAAAAATGGGGCTATGTTTTCATTTTGGTTTAGTGTGCGTGTAACTCGAGTCAAGAAACATGGTACAGGTAGATAAGCTACCTTGTAACTTCAGCATGTGTTATTAATGGTGAACAATGACAACATTCCAAACAACTCATGGTCTGTTTCTATTAAATTCCGGAGCCTCTAGAAACGATCTCACTGAAAGGGGCCCCCCGTTTGCTTATAGGGTAAAAGAGCATGGAATTTTCAAATATGAGTTGGATTGAATTTCAGATTCTCAAACAAACAGAGTGTATAGGATATAGCATTTATATCCAAGCTTTAAATACTATTGAGCAAGGATATGCTTGTAAAATTCATAAGCATTTTCCTTGCACTATATAAAGAACTTAAGAACCTAATTGAACAAGTGAAATTAAAACCACGTTCACCTAAAGTCTCATAATTACAAAATAAGCTTTTGATTTCATTAAGAATAAAACCATAACAACGACTAAGCCTGATCGTACTAGGTAGGGGACGGCTGCATTGACAACAAAATGACAGTACTGACTGAAGACACTACAGCTAACAAATATGATGCTTTTGGCTACATACAATTTTTTCAATGCTGCAAAATTGACAAGCAGTTGACAAGCAAGTGACTACTGTGATCATACCCCATGGTCAGAAGGTCCGATGCGAAAAATCATATTTCAAAGTGGATGCACCCCAAACTCCACAAATGTAACATATAAAATATTACATATACCTTTCTTATGAGGGAAGCAATTTTGTAACCGCCACTAGTCATAAAATCAACAGTAGCATCATCCCACCAAGGCAATAAGCAATGTAAGCGGCCCACCTATTAAGATGATATATATGAAAATGTTAGAACATATATTGGGTCGTTAAAACTCTTGGCTATCCTATTATCAATGAAGCGCAAAGTTCTTGACCATATGATGCTAAGTTATCAAAGAGAACAAATACCTAATGTCGCAATATGAAAATTAAAATGCAAAAACACATCATGAAAAATCAACAGGGGTACTCACATTAGTCCCATCAAGGATGGTGTGTAAGGGCATGTTAGTGAAGGTCAAATAGTTGGCATATAAGCGCAACGGAAGGCTCTTCAATAAATATACCTGATTCAAAACAGTGTCAACAGTGAATTATAATGTTGATCAGCAATATGGTTTTAAGGTTTTAGTAAGATGGATATATTTACCCCAGCATAGGCTACCGATCTAGGCAAGGTTGCTAAGTTTCCAGTTCCCTCTGCATATACACTAGCATCAATCAAAATAAGTTTTTCCACCTGAAAAGATGATTTACAAATAAATTCCCAGCGTCATTTGATGAACTTCTTTTAGGAGTTAATTTTCTCACAAACAGTGTCATGGTGGATATTAAAAATTAAATTCATTTGATGGCACATACAGCTTCTGGATAATTAACTGCAAAATCAATGGCAACAGCAGAGCCGAGGCTTGGTCCAACTAATATCATTGGCCTTCTGATGTAGGACTTCCAAAACTGTAATAGATAAATAAAATTCACTCTCAACAAAGTGTGCAACATTGGGAGGAAAATATGAGATGTTGAAAGAAATTGATGATCCGTGAAGATAGAAAACTCTTCAGATGATAGTTTATAAACAAATCAAAGCCTATAATTTAATTGATTTGTTACCCCAATCTACATAGTTTGGTAAAAGGCATTGTTGTCAAATAGCGGCCCTATAGCGTAGAGGATTTTGAACAAATTACTATTGTTTTGCGATACCATAATTAGTATAAAATGTTGTCGAATAGCTGTTGTAGTGAAGCTATAGCATTGTTCTGTGGCAGAATATGCACAAACCGTTATTTTCCATGATACCCTATTGTTAACAGTGATACAAGGTTTGATAAACACACAGGGATACAAGAGATACATCCAAGTTAAGGAATACATCAAAACCTGATAGAAGTGATTGCGCTTTGAAACCACGTCACAAGGAGGAAGATTTTCTGATGGATAAAAGAAAATTTAGAGTTGAAAGCATAAAAAACTTCACAAAAAAAGGCAAAGTAATAAAACAAACCTAAATCAGAGAAACCCCAACCAAGAATATCGACTGCCCAGGTCTCGAAACCAGATTCTTCAAGCAATGGATATCCATATCTCCATTCTAAACACGAACTGAATAATAAGACGGCATGAAAATTCAGGGTCAACAAGTTCATAAAATGTTATAAACAAATTTCTTTCTACTGCAAAATTTAAGCACCTATCGAAACCGTGTAAAAGAACAATCGGCGGTTCCTTGCTCTGCACCAATGGCTTCACACAACTGCTCATGATTGGGTTTTCTGCAAAGCTAACCTAATTGTATCATACAGAACAAATCACATATTAATCAACTGCAAAAATTAGCTGTGACAAAAGGCCAAATCTCACAAAGAAAAAGTAATTCTGTTAACTGTATATAAATAACTCCACCAACCATGTTACCACAATTGAAGTAATGACATTCCACAATAAATTTCATAAGATCCATTGCATCTCAAAACATTCACCCAAGAACTATTCACTATGGTGGGACAAACACATTTTTTTGGAAACTAGAATGTATGAGAAATTGACCTTACACACCACCACTGGGGGCCAAGACACATTCTATAACCACAAACAAATTTCTATTATTGTTTGTCAAGAATTTGGGAGTAATGTGTAGATAGACCCATAATAAATAACAACAACCACCACCACCACCACCACCACCAAACAAATTCAACAAATTTCCAGGTCTCAAATCTCAATCCCCAAAAATTTCAACAACAGAATATTTTAAAATAAAAAATACCTTCAATATTTGAAGAATACAAATAATATAAAAAATAAAAAAAAAAAGTGAAATGAAATAGTACAAGTACATGATTATTAACTTGAGTTTATGATTAAACCGTAAACACTTAAAGAGAGAGAGAGAAACAGGTAATTACATTGACGGGTAATCTTTGAATCCGCATTGCGAATTTTCGAGCAAAAGGGTCTTTGATAGAGTGAATTTGTTTAGGAAGAAAAGGAGGGAAAGGTTGAGAAGAAGAAGAGAGAACAGTGAAAGGTTTGAGTTTGAAATTGGTGGTGCATCTTGTTCTAGTAAAGGATAACGTAGGAGAAGAAGAAGAAGAAGAGAAAGAAGAAAGTGAAAGCATTGTTGAGTATTAGAGAAAGGAATGAAACGTCGGTGTTATAGTTTTAGCGTAGCAGAGTGAGCAGATGAGAGACGTCATGTGTGTCAGTCATGCAGGGAAAGGACCAGGCAAGCAAATTGTCACCCGTCTCCTTCTTCCTTAACTAGCTGCTTGCTACTTGCTCCTAACTCTCTTAGGTATTTATTGCTCTTCTAAACTATAATATTCCTGCGCGCTACTTTAAAATCATGGATTTTATTTTTATTTTTTTACTGTTCTAGAAATAGTGTGGTTAGGATTTATTGCTTTCGTAGCAATGTCTTTTGTAAAAATAGGTATGTCTTAGACTAGGCTTCTGAGCCATCCATCTCCTTAATCATTAAACTTAAAAAATTATGAGCTAAGCAGATGGATTAGAGTACGATTTTTTTTCATAGCTTCTGTTAGGATTGTTTAGGAATTGTTTTTAGAATTATGGATTTGGTTGAAAGATGTTTTTGTATGGGAAAGTGTGTATTGTCCACTTTGGTCTTTGGAAAGTCCTTCATGACATTGTTGTTTTCAAAAAGTACATATTTGGTATGAAGAGTGTGAATGTTGTATAGAAAATATTATTCACTTTGATTTTCAAACAATGTGAGATTTTTTTGGTGTTTTGAAAATTAGCCCCCTAATCGAGACTAAAGGGTAAAAGGGCTTGACCCAACGAGCGTGCTTGTACGTACGAGCGTGCTTGTACGTTTGGTTCTGACCTCAAATCCAATTTACGAGATATTGTTTTTGGTGTTTGTGGAAGCCATTTGTAATTTTGTTCTTTAAAAAATGTGTCGTGTTATGTTGAGAAGTATGGATGTTGAATACAAATAATTATGGTCTTGATTCTTATGTATTGTGGGACTTTTTGATGTACCGAAGTAAAAGTGTGTATTAATTTTTGACGATGTGGGAGTTCATCACCCAATACTTAATTTGGAACAAAATTATTTTCTTGAAACTAGCATTATTACCCAAAAACATAATTTTGAATTGGTTGAGTATCTCTTTGCTTTGCCAAATAAGCTTATACTTATGATCAACAGTTTTATGACTTCCAAACTTGACTCTTAGAGAAGAAAGATATTTGATCATCTTTGGTGTGTATTTGATCTTCCCATGGATAAAAATCCAATTGGGTGCAACATTGTATAAAAGATTAAATATCACTGTAATTACATAATTGAAAGGTATTAGTCTCACCTAGTTAAAAAATGCTACACTCAAATGGAATGTGTGAACTATTTTGACACTTTTCCCTAATAGCTAAAATCATCACCATTAGAGTCTTATTGTCCATATTAGCTATTAGAGGTTAGAAATTAGATCAGTCGTATGTTAATAATGCATTCATGCATGGTGAATTAAATGAGGAGGTTTTATACGAGCCTTCTGCATGGTTGCATGGTTATCCTTCTTCTAACTCTTCAATAGTATGCAAACTCTCTCTCTCTCTCTCTCTCTCTCTCTCTCTCTCTCTCTCTCTCTCTCTCTCTCTCTCCTCTCTCTCTCTCTCTCTCTCTCTCTCTCTCTCTCTCTCTCTCTCTCTCTCTCTCTCTCTCTCTCTCTCTCTCTCTCTCTCCTCTCTCTCTCTCTCTCTCTCTCTCTCTCTCTCTCGAAGTAGACCACTAGGGAATGGTCTTCCAAGTTATCATATGAATTACTTTCCTTGGGGTACAAGAAATTACTAGCTGATATTAATCATATAATGACTTATGGAACTGATTTCACTATATTGTTGGTTTATGTTGATGACATAGTTTTTGTTGGAAATCCACCAATACTCTATGATGAATTTCGACCACCACTGATGATTAGTTATGAGACAAACAAAGAAAAGACAATAGAATTATTTCTGCAGAGTTTCTCTCTGCCCACAAACTGTGGAAACTTTTATTAATTCACTTTGCAACTGCAAAATACTGTGAATGAGTTTATTACAAAATAGGGGTTACTCCCTCTATTTATAGATTTAGGTTAGCTTGCTCCCTAAGCTAAACCCAAGCCCAAAATATCTTTTTACTAAATCAAATCTAATCTAGATTTAAATTCAAATCTATTAAAATCTAAACAAATCAAATCTTCTTTTGACACATATGAATTACAATTTAACACACCACCTAATTCATTGTGTCTAAACTGTCTATGTTCATCATGGCCCTTAGCTTTCTGAATACTTCGACCTGCACTCCCTTCGTCATGATGTCTGCAATCTGATTCTCAGTTCTGCAGTGTTCCAAATTCATCTTCCCGTCTACTACCTGCTCTCGAAGATAATGGAACCTCATTTCGATGTGCTTACTTTGACCATGTGCTATTGGGTTCTTTTCCAGATTGATAGCTGACATGCTGTTTATCTTCATGGTAATTGCTCCATGATTTTTCCCTGTTATCTCTTCGACCAAGTTCACCATCCAGGTTGCTTGACATGCACAAAGAGAAGTAGCTATGTATTCTGCTTCGCATGATGATAATGCCACTACTGGTTCTTTTCTCGAACTCCAAGCAATTGTTGCACCACCTAGCATAAACACATATCCTGTTGTTGACTTTCGATCTTCAGCATCACTACACCAACTCGAATCAGTGTATCCCACTAACTTGCATTCTTTTCCTTTATCAACTGCAGGAAACAGAATGCCATAATCGAAAGTTCCTTTGAGATACCTTAGTATCCTCTTCACAGCTGCTAGATGTGATACCTTTGGCTTCTGCATGAATCTACTTACCATACCTACACTGTATGCTAAGTCAGACCTTGTATGACAAAGTATCTCAACGATCCAATAAGTCTTATGTATTGGGTTGGATCAACATCATCTTCATCTGCATCTTTCGACAGTTGCAGTCTTGGTTCTGCAGGTGTCGAAGTTGCGTTGCATTCTTCCATCTCAAACCTCTTGAGAATTTCTCCTACATATCTTCTTTAATGCATCATCAAACCTCTACTGCTCTTGTATAATTCGATACCAAGGAAATATGAAATCTCACCCAAATCAGACATTTTGAATTCCTTGCTAAGATCAACTTTGAAGTCTTCGATCTCACTCTTGCAGCTACCTGTTATCAACAAATCATCTACATAGAGACATAGTATAAGCAATTTACTCTTGCTTCTTCTTACATATATTCCATGTTCAGTTATGCACTTCACAAATTCCTTCTCCCTTAGAAAACTACCAATTTTCTTATTCCAAGCCCTTGGAGCTTGTTTCAAACCATACAGGGCTTTATGTAGCCTGTACACCTTTCTTTCTTCGTCATGTTTCACAAACCCAACTGGTTGTTTAACATAGACTTCTTCATCTAAGGGTCCATTTAGGAATTCACACTTCACGTCCATCTGACATATGTGCCAACTGTTGATTTCTGCTAGACCAACAACCAGCCTGATTGTTTCGATCCTAGCAACAGGTGCAAAAACTTTGTCGAAATCTATTCCTTCTTTCTGTAGAAATCCTTTCGCCACAAGTCTTGCTTTGTGTCGAGTTACTTCACCTTTCGAATTCGTCTTCACTTTGTATACCCACTTGACATCAATTGCCTTCTTGCCTTGAGGCAATTCGACAAGTGACCAAGTGTTGTTGTCTTCGATAGACTTTACTTCTTCGTTCATTGCTTTCACCCACTTCGAATCCTTTAATGCTTCAGCTGCATTAACAGGTTCGACATCTGCATAGAAAGCATAATGTACCAGCTCACCTTCATCATCTATCACATCATCTGATGTAATCACACAATCTTGTAATCTTGCAGGCATGCGTCTTGTTCTTTGAGGTCTGCTTGTACTGGGTATATTTGCTGGCTCCTCTTGTCGAACTTCTCTTTCGACTTGAGTTTCTGGCTCTTCGAATAAGATTCCCACTGAATCTTTCTTGACATTTGCAGTCCAATCCCATTCTTTGAACTCATCTATGATCACGTCCCTACTGATCACAATCTTCTTGTTCTCTGGATCGAACAACTTGTAGCCTCCTGTCGAATGATATCCAACTAGGATCATTTGACTTGACTTGTCATCAAGTTTCTTTCTCAACTGATCTGGCACATGTCTATGTGCAATAGATCCAAATACTTTTAGATGACTTAAGCTAGGCTTCACACCAGACCAACATTCTTCTGGAGTAATTCCTTCTAGCTTCTTTGTAGGACATCTGTTCAAAATGTATGTTGCAGTCGAAACAGCTTCACCCCAGAACTCTTTGGGTAAATTCTTGCCTTTCAACATACTTCTCACCATGTTCATGATGGTTCGATTTTTCCTTTCTGCAATTCCATTTTGCTGTGGAGTATAGGGTGGCACCACCTCATGCACAATCCCTTCTTTTTCACATAATCTGTCGAAGTCTTTCGACACATATTCTCCTCCACCATCAGTTCTCAAAACTTTGAGCTTTCGACCACTTTGTCTTTCGACCATGGACTTGAACTTGGTAAATACTTCGATCACTTCACTTTTCTTCTTGATCAGGTAAGTCCATAGCTTTCGACTGAAATCATCTATGAATGTAACAAAGTATTTGTTACCTCCCATCGAATCCACCTGATTGGTCCACATACATCAGAGTATATGATTTCGAGACTAGCCTTCGATCTGCTTCCTGCATCCTTGCTGAAGCTATTCTTGTGTTGCTTCGCCTGCACACATTCTTCACATACTTCGTTTGGAATATCAATTTCAGGCAATCCTGAAACCATATTTCTTCTCTTCAAATCTTTGATGTCTCTGAAGTTGAGATGACCTAGTCTATAATACCATATCCATTCATCTCTGCTAGCTGCAGTCGAAAGGCACTTGTGCTCCATCACATTTAGTTCAATCTTGAAGGTTCGATTTTGAGACATGGGAGCCTTCAAGATTACTCTTCCATTTGCATCAACAACTCTCATCAACTTATCTTCGATTGACACTTTAGAATTCTTTTCGACCAACTGCCATATACTGAGCAAATTGCTCTTCATGCCTGGTATGTATAATACATTCGAAA